TCGCCCGCCCCCCCCTAGCCCGGTGCTGAGGTCCTCCCGCCCCGGGTCGGGCGGTACAAGTGGTGCCAGGGTCCGGTGCCTGCCGCGCCGGGCAGCGCAGCCCTGTGCCAGGCTCCAGCAGCCTTCGCTGGTGCGCCAGGGGCGTGCAGCTGGGCTGGCAGGCGCTTCTGCGGCGCTGGGGGATGCTCGGGGGGGGGCTACCTTGGGCTGCTCACACCAGCAGCTCCAGAAAGGTCTGTACGGAGTTCACCCTGATCTCTTTTCGTTGATGAGCCAGTGCCGGAGCTGCTTTCAGCTTTTCCGCTGCTTTCATCTCTTTCAGACAGTTCCCAAGCTGAAGGAAAAGGAACTGGACTGAAGGAAACTTGAGACAGAAGCCCCTCTTCTGTTGCTCTTGGATTTGTTTTGGAGGCTGTGGCTATCAGCTTGGTGGTGCCTGCAGCAGTGGCTCTACACCAGCAGACGGTGACTTCCAGGGGCATCTCTCCACTTCTCTTAAGGAGGTGAGATCTTCTCTAGAGTGCTTTGCAATGCAGATCTGACATGACTCTTTATAAATTATAACACAAAATGCTTACTTGGTCCTCTTCACGGTGTGGATCCATGCACCATTATGCTGCAAGAGGCAGAAGTGTGATGGAGTCTTCAGATGGTACAGGCGGTCCTTATGCTGGTACTGCCATAAAAGCCCCAGGGTCTGTTAGGGAGAGTCGAGACTGCTGCTTCCTCCCAATGATGGTTCCTTTGTGCCAGCCAAAATTAGCTTGGAAATGAAGCTTTTGGTGTTTCAGAAGCTTAGCTGAGGCAGCACCTTCATGAAGGGTGCTTGTTCCTGGCATTTGTGAATGCTTTCAGCAGCAGGATCCGTAGTGTCAGGGGAGTGAACTAAAATAAATTCAGTAGCTTTCCAAAAAGAGTGAACATTATCTATAGTTGTCTAAAAAACTAATGTGGGAACAGGAGTGGGCAGCAGTGATGGGGCTTAGCCAGTGCCAGGATGGGTAAGTCTTCTTTCAGTCATGAGGATAAGTCGTTCCTATGAGCATGAGCTTGGGCAACACCCCTGTGTCCTCCACTGTAGTAGTCTCTACTCACCTGTTGTCACACAGCTGGCTGTCATGTTCAATAGTTTTGTGTCTGCGATTGGATTCCCACTAACTTAACACTGCAACAATTTGCTTACATATTTGCTTCAGCTATGTTAGTGTCTGAACTAAAGTCTCTCATATTCTTTTCATTTATTGATCTTTAAACCATGTTTTTACTTAAGAAAAAAATGTAAGAAATTATTTGTAAGCATTTTTCTGGAGTGTCGTTAGCTTTCTTTATACAAGGGCTGTGGGTGTCTGCAGCTCTGAGCAAAAAATCACACCTGCCATATAGTTAAGTGCTTGAAAAAGTGCCCAGAAACATGGCAGAATTGCCATCCTTGCATATGATCAAAATTCATCTGAATGTAGACCTGAGTAGCTGGCTACAGGTTTGAAGTCAGCCGCTTCTCTGAGAGGGAAGTTGCATTAGAGATCTCCGTAGATCCCCTTCAGCCTTATTTTTCTATTTTTCTCTTTCACGTTGTGTTCCTCTTGGGAACCCAGCAGTTTACTTTGGCCACTGAGCAATCAAGTCTCTTTTTCAAGGATCACAGAATAACTTGCTGTGGTGCGTAGTCTATCCTGTGAGGCCTACTGGATGGAGACCTAACACATAGCATGCAGTCTTTTTAACAGCAATCTTCAGCTGACACAAATGTTTTATAAGGATGCTGCAAAAGGCTGGATTTTTCTCCAGACAACATGGTTTAAAATGTTAGCTGGACATTCAGTGAAAATGCCAGGATACACTTACCTGAAATATATAGAGGTCATCCGAACCGAGGAAGGTAGGGAGCAATGACCAAAAGTGAAAGTCAGGGACCTTGGCTGGGCAGTTTGAAAGCTAGGGAATGCTTTTTATTGTATGCCAGACCTGAGCTTGTTCCTCCTTTTGTATTTGCTGCAGGTTCTATAACAATGATGGTATAGTTGGGATCTGCCGTTACTTACTTACCTAGAGAAATTCCTGTTTCAATTAAATTCTGAGTATATTTCCTGAAAGAAATGAAAAAAGGACCAGAAAGCAGAGCTTGTCCCCGTGTAGCTCCAGACAATTTAGTGGAGTCAAATCCAGACAATAACAGCAGCAACGGAGCCTCAGTGAAAGAGACAGACATGCTTTCCTCTTCTGGAGAACTGGAAAACATACAGCTGAAACCCGTCAAAGAAACATCCAGAAAAAGACTCTGTGGCTATTTAAATAAGCTGGGCATCAAGGGGCCAATCAAGACCTGGAAGTCTCGCTGGTTCTTTTACGATGAAAACAAATGTCATTTACTATACTACAGAACTGCACAGGACATCAACCCTTTGGGGTCTATTGATATTGCCAGCGCCAGCTTTGACTGCAAGGTGGAAAATGGAGAAGGGGTTTTTGAGATCAGAACACCAAGCAGAGCTTTTACTTTGAAGGTACGGGGCAGCATCTTCTTGTGGGGACGGTTACAAAACATTCCCGATCAGGACAGACACATCTCTGCTAAGATACCTCTTAGTTTAAATTTCTCTTTAGTCCTCCCAGCCTGGACTGTTACCATTTGGACCTAAATTACTTGCATTGTTTTGGCAAGACTAGGACTCCCTTACCTATGAGATGCCCATTGTTTAACAGGAGTAAAAGCCAAACTGGGTGCTGAATTAAAATCATTGAGGAGTCCTGCAGTCCACATGTAATTTGCTGAACAGAAGTGAGCTTCCCTGTCTAAAATGGTTGCTCCAGCAGGAACTTTTCCTAGATTTTTATCTCTCTGAAAATCGCTATTAAGAAGCTCAGTGGGTGACTCTTGGCTAAAATAATTGTGACATTTCAGTTTAGCCTTGGAGCATAGTAAACCAAAAAATGTTTAAAATGAGGTTAGCAGTCCATTGAGGTTCTGTTACTAAGGCCGTGCTGAAGATTTACTCTGTCTTCCCAAATCAGCATTAGGACCAGAGGGTATAGCATAGGCTTGACACAGCTTGTCTTTATTTCTGCTGACTTGGGCAGTGAAGTGGTGGTCAGCCCTTCAGGTTGTGTCTCGTGCTGATGAGATTACTCCCCTCCCTTTCCTGTTGTGTGTTGTGTTAGGCAATCAGCAAACAGGCAATGATGTACTGGCTGCAGCAGCTACAAATGAGACGTTGGGAATTTTGCAACGGTCAGAGCAGATTTCCTGTGGGCAGCTCCCAGCTTGTGAATGAACCTCTGCCTGGCAGAACAAGTAGGTGTCGCATATGTCAGCCTTTCTTTTACTTTCAGCCCCCCAGTAATGAATGGTGCTCCTCATCTGTAAGTGAGCAGGGGTTTTGGCCAGGTGTTTAAATGCAGGTGCCAGCTGTCAGTGCTGGATTGATGTTTGCAACTTCTGGATGAATGTGAATGGGCTCTCTGCTAATCCACAGCATGCGTTTGGAGATGCTCAGGTATCTTATGATCATGAATTCCTTCTTGATTTTCCTCATGCATGTGAACTGTGCACGTTTGGTCCAATTCCTCTTGCAAGGCCTGTGAAATTTACAGCAAGCAAGTTCTTTTTCAGCAGGGGTGGGATGAAGATGTGCATTCCTAGCAGCGGGAGTACACAGGCCGACAGAACAGAGGGCACAAGCAGGGTGTCCACCTGTTCAGTTATGACTAGATGCACATTTTGTTTGAAACAAATAACCCCCTCCCTAGTAAGTGTCTGTTCGAAAAGGTTCTGTGTACTGTGGTATTTTGCTAAAGCAGGCAGTAATTTGGTAACAGACTGTGTGTGTGGAGTGTTGTCTGCACATTAAAACTATCAAACAGTGTTTGGGAGGAGGGAAAAGAGAAGCAACAGCTCCCTTCCTTATTCCTTTAGGCGGCTGAAGTTTGATTGTTTAGGGTTAGTCATTCTTATATGCAAATGGTTGAAGTAGCTTGATTGTGCTTGAATAGATGACTCTGTACATGGAGCCTTCTGTAATTTGACCTAAAGCTAAGGAGACCTGCTCTGCTGTCTTGTTCAGCTGGCCAGTTGAACATGAAACGTATACTTGTAGTAAAACGTTGTGGCTCTCAAGTTACATGAAGGAGCCAAAGTCCAGTGGAATTCTGTCTTGCTCACTTGCTTCTGTGTCCTGGTTTGTTTTTGCATAGATGTTGACAATGAAGACTTTCTGCCTCCGGTGAAAACACCAACAGAAGCAGTGGGTTTAAAAGCAGCATCTTTGCCCGCACCCCAGACATTGACCGCTCTGCAGAACATCTCCCTTAAGCACCCTTGGACAGAGATACAGTGAGTGCAAGAGGAGAGCTGCAGTGTGGTTGACATGCTGGCCTGCTACTTTGTTCCTTCCTTGCCTGTTACACATTGTGTGAGATGGGACGCTTGCCTAGGTGGAAGAACCATGAAGCAGCTTTTTGAAGAATATTCCAGGCAAAAATAAACTTCCTGTCAGAGGGTCTTTCACATCCCCATGTTCCAATGCATTTTGCATCATCTAGCTCTCTTAGCAAAGATGCTAGTGGCAGAACTAGGGCTTGGTTAAGCTTTCTTCCATGTAGGTAGTGGTTTGTATGCCTGCTGCGATGCATCTTTATTTCTTTACAGTTAGGGTGACAGAGCACTGGAACAGGCTGCCCAGGGAGGTTGTGGAGTCCCCTTCTCTGGAGATTTTCAAAACCCGCCTGGATGCAGTCCTGAGTAATGTGCTCTGGGCAATCCTGCTTTAGCAGGGGAGTTGGACTAGATGATCTCTAGAGGTCCCTTCCAACTCTGAAAATTCTGTGATTCTGTGATCTGCACATTGGTCTTGGAAGGGCACATGGGCAGGTTGAGCTGTACTCTGTAGGCTAGTGATAGAAGCCCATTGGCACTTTCCGGTGGTTTCAAAAGACCTTGAATGTAGTGCACCCTCTAAAGCAGGAACTCCAAGCAAAAGGCGCTCGAGCCTGTAATGTAGCTGAGCACTGCACAGCTTGCTACTGCTTGCTAAGTTTCAATTATGTGAATATTTCCGCAGCCTACAAGGATGCTGCTATCTGCAGTTGTGATGTTTATCTCCGCCAGGGCTACAGGTTGTAATTGGACAGTTACAGTTGCACAAAGACAAGCCTCATCAATATCTCCTTAAGTGTGTCCTAGTCATTCATTTACATACAACCAAAAATGTGTAAGTGGCCACAGGTATGGTAGGTAGCCTGACATCTACCAGTTGTTTTTGGTAGGGAGGTTGGCTATAGTTTTTTTACCACCACTACTGTGGCTATGATCTGATGCGAATAGGAAGAAAGATCCCCCATGGCACCAGAGAGGATCAGAGTCAGCCGTACTATTTTGCAAGCTATGCAATCTTTCCTCCTCAGTTTGATTAAAAATAATGTGATTGTATCTTGTCTCCCCATCCCCAGCCTTGCTTTTGCTAGCTTGAATAACAGTTGCCACTTTTCAGCTTCAAATTGTATTGCTCCCCTGGTTCTACAAACATTTCTTCAGGCTCTATCACTATCAGACTGGGTCTTATGAGAGTAGCGTGCCTGATTTCAGCTAAGTTCATCAGATCCCTGAGCTGCTGCTGTCTCAGAGAAAAAACAAAGTGCAGCATGAGGTAGAGAAAAATAGGAAAGTTGCATTGGATGAGAGCCAACTGCAGACTACAGGGAATGAAGGTCTGCTGGTCTTATGTGCCAGTATGTTCCCTGAGATCAGAAATGTCTGCTTTTCTGCTGTGGAGCCTTACAGTAGCAAGGCAAAAGGAGAACGATATCTAAATGCCAACTTCTTTTGCAGTTAGGAAGTAGCTGACACTGAGTCTTTTGTAGATCTCAAGGAGCTTGTTTTGTTTTAGCTGATGGACAACATACGAGGAGAGGGAAAAAGACCTGTTCAGACATAGACAACTGTCTCTCTTTCCTGTATAGGTTTTACAGAAAATACTTGTGCATCTGTGGTTCTGCATGATGCTGTAAAGTAATCTCTTAGTGCTTCTGGCAATATCTGATAGCAGCAGCTGTAACAAACTGTTTCTGGGTCTGATTGCAGTTTGGTCTCTGAATCTGTACTGCATCACTCTATTGAGTTTGTTGTGGCAAGGTTATTAAATGGGGTTCAGAGCACAGGATCTGTGGCTGCTTCCAATGTGATCATTGTGGCAGTTTTGGCTGTGCTGTGGATAGCTGAGCTTTTATTGCACCTGGGGATTTCCACAGTGAGCTAAGGGAGGGAAGGAGAGGGAAGGAAGGAAGGAGGAGGAGAGGGA